AGACAGGTTAACAGGGGAAGAGAAGATGAGTTTGTGAGAATGTGTTCTATGTGAGGTGCCTCTGGGCATCCAGCTGTTATTGGACAGCTCTGGAGATTTATATATAGACAGATATGCTGGCTGGTGTTCTGGAAAGGCTAGAAATCATGTTTGGCTGCCATCAGCACACAGATAATAAAGCAGTTGAAGCCATGGATGTGGATGTAGTCATCCGAAGAGAGCTTATAACGCGAAGTATTCATGACATGGGGGTCCATGAACCAGCCTTTTTATAAATCATGTGTATGTACACATGCGCATGTGGTATTTCTCCAAGAAGAGCCATACTTCCATCAGTCTCAATCAGATCTGAAAAGGCAAACCTTAAGCAATGATGCTAAATGAGGAGAGAAGAGGCCAAGGACACAAGCACTGAAAGGACAGATGGGAAGCAGAGCCCTCCAAGGTAGCTGGAGAGATGCCAGAGAATGAGTATGTGAAGCACTTCACAAGGCTCTGGATCCCACATGCTGCGTGCACATGAATGAGTATACAGGATGGTAAAACTGGGAGGGCCCTTCGAAGACCATTCAGTCTAACTCCTTCATTCTGCATATAAGGTGTTATATGGGAAAATGTGGCTCAAAATTCACTTACCAAAATTTAGAGGTAGGAGTAGTTAAACATGAGCCAGTTTCCGGTTTTCTGATTCCATCATGGTACAGAATAGTAGTCATGCAACATGAGAGCTGGAAAGGTCCTCAGCAATCTAGTGCTCCTCCCCTCTTCATCGATGAAAAAACTGAGTCCCCAAAGGTTAATGTACACCCTCAGGACCACAAAGCAAAAAAGCAAAGAAATGCATTTCTTTATGCATTATGTCTTTCTATAAAAACAGATCTTCTTGCTGTAGTTGGGAAAAATTAATGACCGCATCACTTTCCAAATGTAAAGAGATGGTATTCCAAAGCTCACTGGTGACCTACATGTGTTTCTTAGTTGCACTTAAATAATTTAGACACAGAGTAAAATTTTATTAGCATTAACAATTTATTAGTAGAAATGAAATGACACCTCTAGATCTCAACACATATAGTACTTACATAATAAACAACATGAACATATCTTTCCAAAAGAAAAAGATTTGCTATTAACCAACTCCCCCTCTCCTGCAACAGGCTGCAATCCATCAACTCATCCTCATCCCATAGAGGGTTAAGCCTGATTTATATGGAATGGCATCAAGGCACTTGCTTTAATTAAAAAAGATATATGTGGTATAAAACGTGTTCCTAAAAGTCACTAGCTGTGAATAATTGGGAAAAAAAGGGCAGTTTACTTTTTAGGGGATAGACAAAACTGAGAATTTATGTTCATTCACCTGTCACCCTGGTATTGTCTTGATTTGTATATAAAATTGCAAAGGAGACAAAAAAGGTAGCATTTTATGTAGATTGGTTTGTTCCCACTAATTTTTGAGAAATCACAGCAGCATCAGATCTCAAATAGTAATTTCCCAACTGATCTGAATGGAAAGGGCAAGAGCTTTTTGATTCCCAGTATCTTATTATTTTAGGGATGGGGGACGAGGAAGAGGTGGAGAGAACTTCCCTAAAATATGTTTATTAAAGCTGCAGTTAAAAATCCTTTCTGGCTAAGGCTGCTTGTCTATTTGCCAACTAAAAAGCCTTCAGTTAGAAATTTTGTCATTGGTATTTTGTAATAAGATTATAATTATTTGGCCTTTCTCAGAGCCATAATTCAGTCTAAGAAAGGTACAAGGTTCCAGTGTAGGCTTGCAAAGACGGTATCTCAAATAAAGGCATTTAGTATTCTAGTTTTCACAATTCAATTTCTCCTTATTTTATATCACAAAGAGAAAAACAGAACACACACCAAAAAACCCCACTATTTAGTATATTGCTTATTTAACTTTCCCAATTGTATTTAACATGTTTACTTAAAAAATTCTAGGTGCCAAACATTTTTAAAAATAATAGTCCTTGTCAGGATAAAAATTACCTTATAAAAATAAATCTTTCCCTACTCCCAGATCTAAATTCTCCTTCACTAAAGTTACTAACAGTTTTCTAAAAAACTAAACTGTACCCTTAACTTACAATATTTCAATAGTATTTTACTTTAATAATAATAGGCTATGATAACAAAGCAGTAGGTTCATTATTTTGGCCTGTTCCATTATACTTCTCACTTTTTTTTTTTTTTAAGATTTTATTCATTTTAGAGAGAGAGAGAGAGAATGAGCAGGAGGGAGAGGGAGAAGCGGGCTCCCCACTGAGCAAGGAGCCCGATGCAGGCCTCGATCCCAGGGCCCTGTGATCAGGACCTGAGCCAAAGGCAGACACTTAACCAACTGAGCCACCCAGGCACCACCCCCATTATACTTTTCATTCTTGTATTAACACTTGATGATTCTTATCTTGATTATCTAATAAAATCTTAATACAAAAGAAAAGCCAAATTAGTTCAAAGCCTAAAAGCCTTCTAGATCTAATTTCCTCCTCCTTGCAGTTTTTAAAATCCAGTTGCAAATTAAGGCACCACTAGAACAGATAAAGAAAACAGAGGGGGAAAAGAGAAACCTCAAAGAACAGAAAAACTAAACAAAGCCTAAACCCTGTTGATTGGGTTTTTGCCATCTCACTGTGGAATCATTCCCTGAATAGACCGGGGCATCCATGCCTCCTTGTTTGCCTCAGTTGCCTGTCTCCTGTTCAGACCTCAGTCCAGGCTCAGCTAAGCCCCTCCATAAAGCACCTCCTAAGTGCCCCAGGTGTTAACCTAGGAGAGTTACTGTATAGCCCACCTACTAGATTTAGTACCATAGTCCCAGCACCTGGCCCAGGGCCCTAGACCCCTGCACGGGTCCTCAGTAAGTATTGAGGGTTGTTGTTTTTTTTTTAAGATTTTATTTATTTATTTGACGGAGACACAGTGAGAGAGGGAACACAAGCAGGGGGAGTGGGAGAGGGAGAAGCAGGCTTCCCGCTGAGCAGGGAGCCCGATGCGGGGCTCGATGCCAGGACCCTGGGATCATGACCTGAGCCGAAGGCAGATGCTCAATGACTGAGCCACCCAGGCACCCCAAGTATTGAGGTTTTATTTACATTGGTGCAAAAAGAACCTATAGCTCATCTATAGCAACGGAGAGAGGAAAACAATTCATTAAGAACATCAACAAAGATCAGAGCTCAAATTTATCATTGTAACTTCTAGACTCCATTTAAGTTCCCAAGAAATTCACTGCCTTTTTCTCACTTACATATTAAGAGTAGGGCTAATACCCAGATAATGTGTTCTTTGGTGACAAACTATTAAGAAAATACACCTGCAGAGAATAACTGTTCTTGTTAAAACATATTCATTAGCATTAGAATAGTCTAATGAACTCTCTAACATCTTGATACATGTTTAAAGATCACCATTTATCATACTGTAACCCGAATTTTGGTTTCAATGACTACTATTGTTTAAAAGCTAAGTTGGACTATCCAAATTTGTTTTCCTTTGGTCCCATTAAAAAAAAAATTGTCAACGAGACATTTGTCACTTTTACCATCGGAGGCTACAGTCCCTCAGTCTATGCTCCAGAGTCAGTCAATTGGGCCTTTGCCCCACCTCTGGGGTACCACAGGCTCTTCAGCTCTTTCAGCTTTGGTGAATCTGCCCTCCCTTTCTAGAAACAGAACCCAGTTCTGACCCTGCTGTCAAACTAAGGTGTGGCTCCTATTCCTGATCTCCCTACTGCTGAGTGGGGCTAACCAGGGATTGGATCCTATTCAACTGAGTCCCTCTCCTTTCTTCCCCATTCGGTCCAAGAGGTTTTTTTTGTTTTGTTTTGTTTTGTTTTATTTATTTGACAGAGAGAGACACAGCAAGAGAGGGAACACAAGTAGGGGGCGTAGAAGAGGGAGAAGCAGGCTTCCCGCAGAGCAGGGAGCCCAATGAGGGGCTCGATCCCAGGACCCCGGGATCACGACCTGAGCCAAAGGCAGACGCTTAACGACTGAGCCACCCAGGCGCCCCCAAGAGTTTTTTTCAACGGTGTATTCCCTTCACTCCTCTTGAATGTAATCCTTACTCTTTCTGTGCATTGGCATACTCCACCCCTCCAACTGTAAAGTTTTAACCATCAAGAATGTATACACTATGTTTCAATTAAATGAACATTTTAAGATATTTAGAATTTTATACATTTGTTATTAAGCAATGAGAAAATGCTTCCTTTAGACTCTAAAGTTTAGGGTAAGCGAGATATTTTTGTATCAATAAAGTGTGTAAAAGTATCAGCTACTGAACTAAAATCCAAGCCTTGAGCAAGAAAGAAAATGGAAAGAATAGTTTTGTTGGTGAATTAGATTTTAGTTTCAGGTTTGATTTCTTTAAATACTAGCAATCAACAATGTGTCAGTATAGGTGGACCTCAACTCAAGCAGAGAAGTGAGGTACAAATTCTAGTGAAATCTTAAATGTTTTTACCAGTGGCTGCCAAAAGTAGAATCTCTTGTTTGTTTGTTTGGGTAGAAGAGGAACAAACCAGAACATAATTCAGGAATCTGCTAATTGCATAAAGCTTCAGAATTGTTTATATCCACATATGGACAGAAGAGTCAGGTAAAGTCAGATCCTGTTACTCCATTTTCCAAATTCTTTGGACACTTTTTTTTTGCTTGTGTTTGCTAAATGATAGGGTCATCTTGAACATGTACTCATTTACTCTCTCACATGGCATTAGACATCTATAATGGTCTGGATTCAAACCTGGCTTGGGAGGGGTGGTTAAGAGGGATTAAAAACAAACAACTAACCAAGACACAGTGATTTTATTATTACTATTCCTAAAACTGGACAGAAAGGGCAAATAGTGGCTAAAAACCAACACAAGAAAAAACCCCACATAACAAACAGCAGTTAGTATTTCTAGACTTAAGTTGTAAACGGATGTCAAAATTTAGTACTATTACATTTAATCATGAAGTCAATCACTTCCAAGACAGAAATCCAGCTTTTTTTTTTTATTGAGAAACAGTTTCGTTTTAACAGAAAGGCATTTTCCATGTAAACAGATGGACAGAGCTCTACCAATAGAAACGCAACACTTGGAGTTTCTGGAGCCAACAAGGAGGCTACATATGTTTAAAAGTGTCCCACTCCAACAGATGCCCTACACATAGGGTTTGCTTCTCATAAATAAATTTAAGTTGTTTAGAATGTAGTAACAGGTTAAAAATGATTTGCATTTCTGTAATTATTTTGCTTGCTTTAAATAGTGTGGCTAAATGTTTCAATCTCACATCAATTAGTCTCCTAGTCCTAACTTTGGAAAACCTGTTTTGTTGTTGTTATTGTTGCCTATCAAGGTCCACATACAGAATGAAAAGCTTTTAATGTTGGACATTCTTGCTTTTAAAAAGGAACTATTCCTGTGGCCACAACCTGTGGCCAGCCATCAGAAATAATATATACACAGAACTTGGGATGTATGAATGTGATGTTTCTAAATCCTCTTGCATGACAGTTTTAGGTGACCTAAAGAGGTAAAAGCTGTCGCTGTCATCCGTATTTATTGTACATCAATAGGGTGCACGGCAGTAAGCATCAGTTTTGTTTTCACTAAAACATCTACCAATTAATTATTGATGTTCTTTTGGAAGCACTTTATCACTTCCATGCACTCCTTTCCATTGGTTACAATAAAATATTCCTGCAAGAGTAAAGATGAATAGTACCTTCTATTTGAGGAAGACTGTCAATCCCCAGGGGACCCTTGCTAAAATGCCATGGGAAGGAAAAAAAATCCACTGCTAAGTAAACAAATTCTTAAGGGAAACCGTCAATCATTCCTTTTCTCAATCCATCCTTAACAGTTGCCTCAAGCTCATTTAAAATGCTGTCTAGAATTGTGGAGTCAGCGTTGTGCCTTTTACCTAGCAAGCTTGTCGCTGGTAATCCACAGCAGTATAAGACAGATTCCATGAGAAACACTAAATGAATGAAAGCTACAATAGAGCTTAATGGTAGAGAAATACTCAGAAACAGGGACAGATTGAGATCACAGAAAAGACAGGGAGGATTCCTATTATTTTGGCTGATTATGAAGAAGAGCTCTTCACTTACCTACTTACCTTAAATAAAAAGGCAGGAATAAAACATCAAATGTATTAAAAAAGAATGCTCTAGGTAACATGAGGCCGGTGGTAGGATTTCACCAGCCTGCTCAGCCACCCCACCCCCGATAAGACTGTGCCTGTGGTTCCCTGCCTTAAGGGATGGTGCTCTCCTACTCAAAGCCAGAGATCCTACTGCCGTCTAGGGAGCAAAGACTGGGAACAGAAAAGTACAAGTAAGAACAAACCTTTGCCCCAGAAGTCTCCTGGCCTGCTGGTATCAGAGAAGGCACAACACTGTCGTCTTGATCCTTTCTACTCCCTCTCCAAAGTGTCACAGCAAGTGGGCTCCAGCACTTGCCACGTCAACGTCAGCTTTACCTCCTGGTTCTCGAGGAAGAGTCCAAATGCTTATCTTCAACAGCATGGTAACTGAGTTTGGGGGCTACTTTACAGTTCAATTCAATAGATGTTTATTTAATTCCAAGAATACCTCATATCTGCAAGAAAACCTGAAACTGCAATATTTTCTTCTTTGCGATTCTGCCCAACTATAAACCCTGCTGCATTTGTCTACCTATAGAGGCCATCGGCGTCAACGGAATAATGTCTAACCAACAGGTTAAAACAATTTTTTTAAAGATTTATTTGTTTATTAGAGAGAGAGAGCGAGGGTGAGCACACAGAGGGAGAGGGAGAAGCAGACTCCCCACTGAGCAGGGAGCCCGATATGGGGCTCGATCCCACACCCTGGGATCATGACCTGAGCCAAAGGCAGATGCTTAACCGACTGAGCCACCCAGGCGTCCCAGGTTAAAATTTCAAGTGCAACAGTTTCCACTGTGGAACTAGAAAATGTTATATACTTCAAACCTTAACCTATTGGCTGGACATCATTCTCCTTTCCATCCACTTTCTCAGTCAATCACTGGAAAGGCTCAGACCATTGGGAATACATACTCCTTTCTGATTCTGATATTCTGCAAAGGCCACTGCTTCATACACACTATAAAAGAGAAGGTTTTCTTCTTCCTCTTTGAAATACTCTCCGGAGGCCAGGGAATCCCTCACAGAGGGATTGCATTGAGCCAGCAGAACCTGGATGCCAATGGCTTCATAATCTCTACGAACTTCTTTCAGTGTATGGATCCCTGCTGTATCTAAAAACTGTATTGTGCTGCAGTCAATCACTATGGTATGAAGCTCCAAGGGATCACAGGAAAGTTGCACTGAAACTTCGTCCTGGATTCCACTGAGAATCACTGTTTTCTTTGTGATCTTTCTCTTTGCGGCCTTCTTCTGAGCTGCCTTTACTAAGATTGGGTTGAGAGTTTTTTTGTATAAAGCAGATTTAAAACATTCTTTGTTTATGTAGTAGAGAGGGGCTACAAAACGGAATATCTTGATGCCCGGCTTAGTCTGAAGATTCTTGTAAGCAGACACGGATTCAAAGATTTCAGACTCTTCCACCAAACCAAGCAACGAAGTCTTTGGCTTCTGAGTGCGGAGAATGACACAAAACATAGAAAAACAAACCCCAATTAGCAGGCCTATTTCAGTACTTATCAGTGCAGAGGACAGCATGGTAACAAACCAGATAACTGTATCCATTCTGCTAACCTTCCACATCTTGGGCAGATCCTTAAATTTGCGTAGGGCTCCCCGGAGATTTACAATGGTGATTACACCAAGGACACTTTTCTGAAGGGAATAGAATAAAGGAGCTATTACCAGGAGGACCAACAAAAGAACCAAGGCTGTCACCACACCAGAAAGCTGAGTTTGGCAGCCTGTTGATTCTTTAACCAAGGTCTTTGCAAGAGCTGCGCTGGTAGTAAAGCAGTGGAAGAAGGAGGGGATGATATTGCAAAAGCCAATGGCATACATTTCCTGATTGGCTTTGACCGTGTAGCCATGTTTCTTGGCAAACATCTCAGAAAGTGATACAGTGATAGCAAAACCAATGATCGAAATAGCTATTGCATCTACAGCCAAACTAGGAATTAGATTCCAGTCTGGTGCTTTCGGTGGCATAAACCCCGTGGGGATAGGCCCAGCAATACTGGTATTGTATTTCTCATTTAGTTTTCCAAAATGAGAGGCTAATGTGGCTGCCACGACGACAATAAGTTCAGTAGGAATCGGTGCCTTAAGCTTGGACTTGAAGTGCTCATTGAGTTCTTTGGTTGGCAAAAGAACCAAAAGGCACAAAAGGCTGGTGATGAGATCACAGAGATTGGTCTTATGGATGTTTCTGAAGATTTGTATCCAAGTAGTGATGAGCGAGCCCACACCATTACTCCGAGGAAGGCTGAGCCCAAGGAGATACTTGGCCTGAGACGTAAGAATAGTGAAGGAGGCACCAGTGACAAATCCACTCAGCAAGGCATCTGAGAGGTAGACAGAAACAAAACCCACTTGGAAGAAGCCCATCGCTACCTGGAAGGAAGGATATACAAGTGTTACATGTAAGTGTCAAAGAGCTTCTAAACCCTCCAATAAATACCCTGGCATTGCTTTGCATGGAGACATACCACTGGGGCATCACAAAATGTCAGAGGTAGAAAAAAACGCAACTCTACATCAGTCCTCTTGTTTTACAAAGAGAGGGCTCATTTTACTAACACTCAGAGGGCTAAGCAACTAGCCCAAAGTCACACTGTTACTCAGCCCAGATGAGACAAGAACTTAGGATTCGCCTTCTTCTACAATGTTTCTTTTTTTTTTTAAAGATTTTATTTTATTTATTTGAGACAGAGAGAATGAGAGGGAGGAGGGTCAGAGGGAGAAGCAGACTCCCCGCCGAGCAGGGAGCCCGATGCGGGACTCGATCCCGGGACTCCAGGATCATGACCTGAGCCGAAGGCAGTCGCCTAACCAACTGAGCCACCCAGGTGCCCTCTACAATGTTTCTTAAACACGAATAAGCTCAGACCTCTTTGAAAAAGAAAAAATTCTTAAGGATCCACAAGAAATTATAAAAACTCAAACTGGAACAATTCTCCTAATTAAAAAACCATGTGTTTTCATTAAATTACAAATCATTACAATAAAAGTGAAGTTTTAACTGATAAAACAAAACACTGGATTCACATCAAAGAATCACATTTAAAATCATTATAGAACACACTCTTTAACCTCATGCTGAGAAACTATTCTCATTCAGTGTATATGTGCTTATGCCAAACTGCTCCCCATACTAAATCTGCATCCTCAAAGACAAAACTTTTTTATTTCTTTATTTTTTCCTCTTCCCAATGATTCCTCAGAATTCTACGGAGCCCTTTCTCATTGGTGAGACATACTAATAAAAAAGCAAAAACGGACCCTGCAGAGCATCACTCTTCTGCACATTATCCACTTCTCCCTCTCCTCTTCACCAGGAACAACATGAAGAGAGCTACTCTCCCCCTGCCCATATTGGAACCAAATGCCTATAAGGGAGAAGAGGTTTAATGCTGGCATTAACTCCTGGATGCCAAAAGACAGGGGCATGATGATAACGGTGGGTTAGTAGATTCTATGGGAGACCCGAAGAGAATCTCATTTTCTAATCCTTTCTTCTGGCTAATAACATGAAATAGTGGTTCTCAACTTGTTCCCCAGAAGTCCAAGAAAATTGCTATCTGGGGTGAGAGTCACTCACTAGAGCAGCAAATCTAAAGGTGGGGAGGGGAGGCATCTATAATTTGAAACCTCCTGCCCTCTTCCTTTTGCCAGCCCTCAGCCTGTCATCCTCCTCCTGCTTGTTAATGCCGACTCTGCCAATAACCAACCACACACCATCTCAAGCAAACTCATTGTTTCTCAACATATAAAATGAAGGGGTTGTACTGAGTGATCTCAGGTCCCTTTCTGGTCAACATTTTTATGACCAAATAATGACAATCTGGCTGACTGAAACTCATTGGTTAAGAGGGCAGCCTAAGGTTGAGAAAAGAGAAGCAGCCTTAACTTACCTGCAGAGGCAGACCAGGGTTTGAATTTTGGCTCTATCCCTCACATATCCTAAGCAGCATTCAACGAATGACAGCTTTAATCATCATGATCTCTGCGATCCTTTACAGATCTGACATTTCAGGTACAGTGATTTCTTTTGCTAGAAGTAACCACTTCCTCCACCATTTCTTACCTGATAAACTCCAGCCATAAAGGTCACAGTGCTGCCAACAGTAATTGCATAGCAACTTCTGTCACACACCCAGTCTGAGGTCTGGTTTAATAACGTGCTCCCATTTGAAACCGTTCCTAAAGTAGAAGGCGCGTTTTCGGCAGTGTCATAGCCAGCTTTGTGTAGTTCTCGGTCAACTACCTCACCAATCATAAGGCACAAGATTCCAAAAATGCCCACAGAGATGTGACGGGAGGTGCCCGACAGGAAATAAATGATGCTGGCAAAAAAAGACGTGTACAGACCATAGATAGGCTCTTGACCAGCCAAGAGGGAATAGGCAATGGACTGGGGCACTAATAAGATGCCCACAATCAGGCCAGACATCACATCCCCTAAAATGTTTTTCTTCAGATCATATTTTGGGAGCCATTGCAAAACAGGAAGGAAACCCAAAATCATATTTTTGGCTTTGGCTGGGCTGCACTGGCAACTCTTCTGCAGTTTTTTAGTGACAAATTGCTTGAAGTTAGTACTTGGTTTCTCTTGAGGCTCCATATGGATCCTACGATAAGGTGTGCATTGATCACTGGCTTCAAATTGCTTCAAGTTGGTACCTGATTCCTTTTCAAGCTCCGGATGCATATCAGACAGAGGACTGTGTTGGTGATTTCCTTCAACTGAATTCTTGGGTGACAGATCATATTGCTCTTTACTTTCCAAAGACATTTCTGGAGATAGATGCTTTAGCCTCCTACAGTGAAGAAAACACCAGAATTAATGGATTAAGTAATTCTCAGTGCTCACACATTTTAACAGTTCTATTTGTCATTCATGAGAGTTAAGGAGTTCAGTTTGGGGATAGGTATCTTATATTCACTTTCTTTAGTTGAGCTTCATATGTCTTGATCGGGGAAAACAAAAACAAAAAAACAGACTACAAATAGCCAAGTCAAAGCAAATAAGTCATTGGGTATAGGACTTCCCAAAAGTATAAACCATCAAGAATTCTTCTCCATCTCTGCATGGTTCCCCCTGCAGTTTTTTCCTCTAGAAAAGGTTTCAGGGTGGTCTGTCTTGTCCTGCTATCACTGTCTTCTTTCCAAGTTTTTCACTTCCAGGTGTACCGCAAAACAGGATCTAGTCTCAAACCTTCACTGCTACCTGCAAGTCCCTGAAACATAAGATGGTCTTTTTCTTGGAGTAGACCATAAACTGTTTACCAGATACTTCACAAATCAATGTCTTTGAGTTAGCTGTTTGCTTAGCTTAGAATGGCCACTGACCTCTCTGCCCATCAAGATTCTAATCATTTTTATACCCAGTTAAAATGCTACCTCTTCTACACCGACCAATCCCCTAGCTCAAGTGAATCACTATACCCTCTGTGTCCCATAGCATTTTGCACCTTCATTATAGTACTAATCACACTCTTCTGTTAGTTAAGTAAGAGTCTCTCTAGCTCCTGGAGGAAAGGATATCTTGTTCATCATTGTAATCACCAACAAATGCATAGCAACTCTGAGACAGTAGGCTTACAAAATGAATGAATCAAAGAACAAATGAACATACAACTTTATGACTGTGGCCAAACAGAGATAAAATATACTAGATGGAAGACTCAGAAAATTTCCTGTTTTGGAACTGAGAGAAAAACATATCCTTTATTGTAAAAGTAACACACATTAATTTTTTTTGGATGAAGGGGCTATAGCTGGTCATCCCACTTAACAAGAGTGAAATAATAGTTACTTGATGGTCTTATTAAGTAGATAAAGAAGAAAAGAACAGATTTAGATGACCACTTACCCTGAGCAAGTCAATCAGATTTGTGGATACACACAGCAGCTCTTCATTCCTCAATGCAACCCGTCTATAACTCTCTTCTTACTTCCTACTCAGGCCAAGCTAGTTTGAATAAATTTCTTATGTCCTTCTATTTTGGAACAGCTCTGGTGATTCCTGGGTCAAAAGGCTTTTCCAAACCTAAGAAATGCAAAAGAGGCATAAGAAAAAACTAAGAAAATCTAAATTTTGCCCTACATGGTTGCTATCTGGGAAGGAAAAAGATAAAAGTTAATACTAGAAAATGCAACAGAGTGATAGAAACTGTAAGAAAGAATTGAACTGAAATACTAAAAGTGAAAAACAAAGTAACAGATGGAGAAGGAATGCCTCTGACAGGGTCATCAACATACTTGACAGAGCCAAAGAAAGAATCCATGAAATTGAGGACAGGTCAATAGAAATTACCCAAACTGAAAAAGAAAGAGAAAAACAGAATTTTTTTTTTTAAATCAATAACAATAATGTAAGAGAACATCCAAGAGCTATGGGACATATTAAGCAATCTAACTTACGTACAATTGGAATCTCAAAAGGAGAGGACAAAGAACGGGCAGAAAAAATATTTGAAGACATAGTAGCCAAGAATTTTCCAAAATTAAAGACAGACACCAAACTATAGATCCAAGAATCTCAGAGAATACCAAAAAGAACAAATACAGAAACAAAAACAAAACTCTACACCTACATATATCATACTCAAGCTGCTGGAAACAAAGATAAAATCCTGAAGACAAAGAACAGCCTGATGGCAGCCAAATTAAAAACACACATTAAACACACTGGAACAAAGACAAAAATTATAGCCGACTTCTCATTTGAAACATCAGAAGATAAAAGAGTGATGCCTTTACCACAGAAAAACAGCTGCCAACCCAGAATTCTATACCCAGAGAAAATATCTTTTAAAAGATGGAGAAGTAAAAACTTTCTCAGACAAACACTAAGAGAATTTCCAGTAGACCAGCACTACTATATATACATATAGCTGACAGAAAGTACGTCTACACAATGCACAACAAAGAAATAAAGTCCAGGAATGGAACATATGAAAATAAAATAATTTAATTTAAAATATCTTTAATTGCTCTAAAAGATAAACATTTAAGCAACAATAAGAATGTATTTTGTTTATAGCATATGCAAAATAAAATGTATAAAAATAGCACAAAAAATGGGTAGAGGAATTGGGAATTGTAGGGTCTTAAGCTAGATGTGAAATGATACATTATTATTTGAAGGTAGGCTCTGATTATAGATGTATATTACAAACCCAAGAGTAACCACTAAATTTTTTTAAAGTATAAATAATAAGTCAATTGTAGAGATAAAATGGGATCATAAAAAATTCTCAATCCAAAAGAAAGCAAAGAAAGAAGAAAAAGGGGACCAAAAGTAGATAGAACACATTGAAAACAGCTTGCAAGATGGTAGAGTTTATCTTTTTTTTATGTTATGTTAATCACCACACATTACATCATTAGTTTTTGATGTAATGTCCCATGATTCATTGTTTGCATATAACACACAGTGCTCCATGCAGAATGTGCCCTCTTTAATACCCATCACCAGGCTAACCCCCCCCACCCCTCTCCCCTCTAGAAACCTCAGTTTGTTTTTCAGAGTCCATAGTCTCTCATGGTTCGTCTCCCCCTCTGATTTCCCCGCCTTCATTCTTCCCCTCCTGCTATCTTCTTCTTCTTCTTTTTTTTTTTTTAACATATAATGTATTATTTGTTTCAGAGGTACAGGTCTGTGATTCAACAGTCTTACACAATTCACAGCACTCACTATAGCACATACCCTCCCCAAAGTTTATCACCCCGCCACCCCATCCCTCCCACCCCCAACCACTCCAGCAACCCTCAGTTTGTTTCCTGATATTAAGAATTCCTCATATCAGTGAGGTCATATGATACATGTCTTTCTCTGATTGACTTATTTCGCTCAGCATAATACCCTCCAGTTCCATCCTCGTCGTTGCAAATGGCAAGATTTCATTCCTTTTGATGGCTGCATAATATTCCATTGTGTGTGTGTGTGTGTGTGTGTGTGTACACCATAACTTCTTTATCCATTCATCTGTTGATGGACATCTTGGCTCTTTCCACAGTTTGACTATTGTGGACATTGCTGCTATAAACATTGGGGTGCATGTACCCCTTTGGATCCCAGTGCAATTGCTGGATCACATGGTAGCTCTATTTTCAACTTTTTGAGGAACCTCCATACTGTTTTCCACAGTGGCTGCACCAGCTTGCATTCCCACCAACAGTGTAGGATGGTTCCCCTTTCTCCGCATCCCCGCCAACATCTGTCGTTTCCTGACTTGTTAATTTTAGCCATTCTGACTGGTGTGAGGTGATATCTCATTGAGGTTTTGATTTGGATTTCCCTGATGCCGAGCAACGTTGAGCACTTTTTCATGTGTCTGTTGGCCATTTGGATGTCTTCTTTGGAAAAATGTCTGTTCATGTCTTCTGCCCATTTCTTGATTGGCTCATTTGTTCTTTGGGTGTTGAGTTTAATAGTTCTTTATAGATTTTGGATACTAGCCCTTTATCTGATATGTCATTTGCAAATATCTTCTCCCATTCTGTCGGTTGTATTTTGGTTTTGTTGACTGTTTCTTTTGCTGTGCAAAAGCTTTTTATCTTGATGAAGTCCCAATTTTCGCCATTGCTTCCCTTGCCTTTGGCGATGTTTCTAGGAAGAAGTTGTTGTGAAGAGGTCGAAGAGGTTGCTGCCTGTGTTCTCCTTTAGGATTCTGATGGACCCCTGTCTCACATTTAGTCTTCTAACCATTTTGAGTCTATTTTTGTGTGCGGTGTAAGGAAATGGTCCAGTTTCATTCTTCTGCATGTGGCTGTCCAATTTTCCCAACATCATCTGTTGAAGAGACTGTCTTTTTTCCACTGGACATTCTTTCCTGCTTTGTCGAAGATTAGTTGACCATAGAGTTGAGGGTCCATTTCTGGGCTCTCTAGTCTGTTCCAGTGATCTATGTGTCTATTTTTGTGCCAGTACCATACAAGATGGTAGAGTTTAAAACAAACGGAAATAATTACAACTGTGAATGGTCTAAAGGTGTCAATTAAAAGGTAGTGAGTGTCAGATTAGATTAAAAAAATAAAACCCACCTATATGCTATCTATAAGAAACCCAATATTTATTTATTTATTTATTTTTTTACTTACTTACTTACTTACTTATATTTGAGAGAGAGCATGACAGGAAGGGTGGGGGGAGAGGCAGAGGGAGAGAGAGAATCTTAAGCAGACTCCACGCCCAGCATGGAGCCTGACACAGGGCTAGATCTCAGGACCCTGACGTCATGACCTGAGCTGAGATCAAGAGTCAGACACTTAACCAACTGAGCCACCCAGGCGCCCCAAGAAACCTACTTTAAATATAAATAGATTATAATATATATATATATATATAGAAAGCACTTGCCCAATGTAGTCATTTATTTAGCTTGTAAATGACTGAGCCAGGTAATAAAATCCAGATTTTAGGACTCTAAGCATAGCTCTTTTTGAGCATGACGCTATTCCTATCACCTATCTAATTAGCTTTCTCTAACCTCAGATACTTCCAAACACGTTAGAGTTCAGCTACCCTAAGCTTTGCGCAGTGGCAGTATTGTAGCCAATGAGGTTTATCCGAGGCGCGATTATTGCTAATAGAATTCAGCTACCCTACACATCCCACTTTCACCTACCTGCTACCTAGCACTGACAACTACAAACTTGTACCCCATTCCCCGTTCGCTATACTCTTGGCCATGGTCCTTTTTCAGCTCTAGCTCTCAAAAATTTAGGCATTCATTCACAAACAGTCCTAGCAGTGGAACTGACAGAGCCATCAGTCTGAATCCAAAAGCCCTCTATAGTCTCCTTTATCTGTCCTACTCACCGCCCAAAATTCTCCTCAACACTATATTTTTTTCTTTTTCATACGTATATTAAAACTCAAGGCAACATAAAGCTACTTTAAAAATTGTCTTAAAACTGGGGCGCCTGGGTGGCTCAGTCGTTAAGCGTCTGCCTTCGGCTCAGGTCATGGTCCCAGGGTCCTGGGATCAAGCCCCGCATCGGGCTCCCTGCTCGGTGGGAAGCTTGCTTCTCCCTCTCCCACTCCCCCTGCTTGTGTTCCCTCTCTCGCTGTGCCTCTCTCTGTCAAATAAATAAATAAAATCTTTAAAAAAAAAATTGTCTTAAAACTAAATTGTAGGTATGACCTTCATACAAACTAAACTCCTTGAAAGCAAGCTCCACTCTAATTCATCTTTGTATCCTCCAAAATGTCCAGGTATATGCTTTCTAAAAATAGGAACTACAACATTTGCTAAGCAAATAACTCAAATACAGAAAAAAAAGTAGGATGCAAAGCAATATTTCTTTTCAAGTGGAAATACCTCCTTTGGGATATATTTTTCAAATATCCCTTTTTGCACCAAAATCCTCTCATTTCCCCAAGGCAATTACTGCTTTCAATTATAGTATTCATCAACTGCTTCATGAAAATTAAGAGATGACAGTGTTTATCCTTGGAATAGAGCCTACAGCCAGACAGCCATTTTAAGGAAGTTGAAATACAAACTGTACATTGCATGAAGATCAATAAAACATGATTCTACTGTAGCGTCGAGGCTAGTTTCTCCCTTTACTAACTTTACTCACTAAGAGTGAGAAAAGAAAAGGTTCAAGAGGAAAACACTCGTACTGTCCACATTACTTTGCAGGAATCAGAAGGAAAAACAATAAAACGTTTGCAAAGTACATTTACACAGGCATGCATTAAACAACAGGAGTTCAGGCAACCCCAAAAGGAAAGACATTTCTGTACTTTCTTCTTCAACTGCACACATGCAGCTGGGACCACCTAGAGGGTCGTCTGGATCCAGATGAGTAATCAGCAGCACTGGCACAATTCCCGTGTGAATTACCGAGAGGCTAGAGCCCTGGACTAGAAGAGAGCTTACGCCTCTTCTATATATGCCCGATAGTGGTCAGCCAACTTCTATTTGAAGATTTGGATATAAGCAAAACAATGTCTACTTTTGGTAATTACAGCATATAATTCTAACTAACAGTGCTTATATAACAGTTTTGCAATTTGTGAAACTGAAATGCCTC